AGAAAGTGAACCTACTTTTCCACCACACGTCCATAATCTTCTTCCGGGATTCTTATCAGTCCATGATGTCACTAACTTCATCTCTTTCCCACATTTACAACAGGGCACATCGAGCCATTCGCCATACTCACAGATTCTTCTATAGGAGGTGAAAGAGTGACTACCAGAACTATTAAAAAAATAAAAAATGTAAATATATGTTCATCAATTGCTGCTTAATACCAAAATTTTCAAAAACTTACCTGTTTTGAGCCATTCACGATGAAGACCAGATTCGTCTCGCAACCTGCATAACCAAAACAGTAAAACTCAATCTCTTTTGCATCAATTTGAGTCACACGCACAAAAGCAAACCCTACCTTTTTATCAAAGCAAATATGAACTAAATGTAGAGATGGATCTTGACCAGAATTTCGTCAATTCAACGCAAACCCTACCTCTTCAATTCGTACCTCTTCGCAAACCCTAGCTCTTCAATTCGTACGCTTCAATTGCCAGATTTTCAAACCCTTTTTTCTCCAAATATCTTATCCTCTAATTTAAGTAGAAGAAGCAAAGTCATTTTCGGATTTTCAAACCCTATTTTCTTGATATTAATACCGTAACGTCCTTTGACGGATGAATAGACGGAGTGGCCCTCATCAGTAAGTTAATATATATTTTGGGGTACCCCGTAGTTAGTTTTAAAAATGTGAGGTACCCGGCAGTTATTTTCTCATAATAGGGGGTACCCAAGAGCAGTTTTTTGTGTTCAGAGAGTGCTAGACTAAGGGGGGTGTATTCAATCAGGATTATGAAAGATTTAAACAGATTGTTTAAAGTCTATGGATTCTGCAAAATCTATAGATTGTTTTAAGTCTATGCAGAGTTTGATAGATTTTAATGTATTTTATCAGCAGGATTTTATAAGATTCTGCTTGATTGTTTATAATCCATAGATTATTTATGTATAAATATGAATTATTTTATAAATTTATACATTGTTGTAATCAACTTTGTATTACTTTTCTCAAAGAAGGTACCTTAAAGTAGGGGTAAAATCTTGTGTTGCCTCTTATTTTAGAAGGCACGGCAAATCCCGGCTTGACCATCATTTGTGGTGTTATAGTGTTTAATGCCTTCAAAACTTTGTTAAAGTTTTGACTCGTTGCGAAATGTGAACGGCCAAATCTTTAACGAACATTACAATACCGATCATTGTGACCCACAATGAGTAGAAATGTTGCTATCATTTCTTCAACATAAATATATCTTGTATCTTCTAAAGGCGTACCTTCTCTGATAATGGTACATAGCTTAAGAAACACATCAGGATACATTCTATACAACTCTCGAAAACTTTGTGGATCTTCTTTCAACACTCCATGTATATAATGAAATATCCTTTTGTAGTTACTGAGCGACGTTTGAGAGAACCTTCCACACGTTGAGGCGTGTTAATTAGAGCCTCTCTTAAAATAATCATTATTGCTTGAATGGCCAATAATAAGTACTTGATAGTTTCATAGAATTCATCTTCTGTTGCTTCTTCATGTATTTCTTCTCTTCATATCACTTCTTGTTCCATTTATCTATATGACCAAGCACATATAAAGTAAAACTAACCACTTCTTTACACATATCCATACCAAAAGAAAAAATTAACATATAAATAGACATATGCTTACTGCCAAGAGCTATTGCCTATGGGCTCTTTTTCTTTCTTTGTATAATTTTATTTGATTATCCTGTTGTTCTTGTTTGACCTGCCACTTTCTGTCCTACCCTTACAAAATTCACCATTTCTGTTATTTTTCAAGGAGAAGCAAAATTCATAATTATTCTCTGCCGAGAAAATCAATAATTATTCCATGTGATTTATTAGTAAATTCAAATGCCAAATGATTTAATTCAACCAATAAAGTGGAGTAAAACTTAGGGAGAAATGCACCACAACCCCCTATGGTTTCAAAAAGGAGCTCCAACACCCCTCATGGTTTTAAAAGTAACTTATAATATACCTCTGGTTTGTAAAGAGTGCACATGCACCCCATCTGGAAGTAACTTATACTAATTTTTTTTAAATCAATTTTTTTTCTTAATTTCTCAACTTTGTTCCTCTATTATTTTTTTTAAATCAATTTTTTTCTTTATTTCTCATAATTGAATAACAAAAAGAATTATAGAAACCAGCAAATTAATTACATATAATGAAACAAACAATCTAATAATGATAAAATTCATAAATAAAATAATTATTTGATGGATTAGTGATTTTTCCTAATCCAATATCATTTGAACAGTACAAGAAAGCCCAATTTTATCTGGCCCAAGATATAAATCAGATGAATTATTTAAGACGGAACCAGAGATATATGGACAGAAGAATATATTTTAAGTGATGTGAAAATATTTTGTGGAGCCCATATACTAAACATATGCACATGGAGGTGACATGACCACCTCATGGCATTGTTGGAATGCATGCATGTACTCCCCTTTAAATACAATGCTACGAAGGACGGAAGATAGAGGCCAGATTCCTACAACATGTTCCTATTATTCTTCATTCTTCTTTTTCTTTAAGCTTGGAGCTCCATTAATGGCTCCAAGCTCATACAATGATGTATATGCAAATTCCCCCGAAATTAATAAAAGTTCCTCCCCTTTGGCATGGCATCGCCTAGAAAGGCCCGTGGTTTTCTCCCGATTTGGGTTTCCACGTATAAATACTTTCTCTCCGCTTTATTTATTTATTTATTTTTCCAGATTTCGCTATTCGGTGCGGTGCCGACCCGGTACCGATTTCGTCAGGTCGATGCCCCGAAAAAGCGGTTTCCATCACTATTTATTGACTTTAAATAATGCACCATAGACCGAAATTAAAATAAGAAGTAAATCACAACAAATTTATTGATAGAGTACATATAATTTATTCATTCATAAAAATAAGGTTACAAAATATGGTGCATTTATTGATAGAGTACATATAATTTATTCATTCATAGAGTACATATTTTTATGAATGAATAAATTATATGTACTCTATCAATAAATTTGTTGTGACTTACTTCTTATTTTAATTTCGGTGCATTATTTAAAGTCAATAAATAATTATTTTAGTTATGAATTTTATCATTATTAGATTGTTTGTTTCATTATATGTAATTAATTTGCTGGTTTCTATAAAAAAATTGTTATTCAATTATGAGAAATAAAGAAAAAAATTGATTTAAAAAAAATAATAAAGGAACAATGTTGAGAAATTAAGAAAAAAATTGATTTAAAAAAAATATAGTATAAGTTATTTTTAGATGGGGGGTGCATGTACACCCTTTACAAACCATATGTATATTATAAGTTTTTTTAAAACCACAAGGGGTGTTGGAGCTCCTTTTTGAAACCATAGGGGACTGTGGTGCATTTCCCCCGTAAAACTTATATGCCAAAACCACCATAGGCTACTCCAACTTATTGTTGGGGGAATTTCTACAAACACATAGAGGGCATAAAATATTAACCTAAAAAAGAGTAATTTATGAATCAATTAAAGAGTTTCAAAAATAAACAAACATGGCCAGTAACTAATTCAAATTCAAAAAAAAAAAAATACATACTCCGTTAATAGTAAAAACCATAGTTTTCAGAACCGGACCGGTGACCGAACCGGTCTCGGTACTGGTTCACTGGTTTACTGGTCGAACCAGTGGTTTAAACATTTTTTAAAATTATATATATATATATATATATATATATATATATATATATATATATATATATATATATATATATAGGCACACACACTCTCTCTTATTTATAAATACTTAAGAGTAAATAATGTATAACATTTGACCAAATCTATAATAATTTACTTCAGTTATGTCACTAAGTTTAAAAAATAAAACTTACATATTTAAAAAACAATATTAAACATTTTATAAACAAAGAGTTGATTTTATTTTTTTCAAATAAATTATCTAATATGAAAAACACTGAAATAAAATCT